AAAGCTCGCTGCCATTGGACTCTGGAGCAGTGGAAACGCGTTCTCTGGAGTGATGAATCACTTCCCAGAGGAGTGGATGCTGTTATAGCAGCAAAGGGGGGGACCAACTCCATATTAATGTCCATGATTTGTGTATGTGGAGACCCCTTCAAATTAATGGATTCAGATCCCGTTGGGGCCCATGTGTTGAGGATCAGCGTGGTGTAGATGTTGTTGCCTAACTTCACCACCTAGGGTCAGCCCGCCAGGAAGTACAGGACCCAGTTGCACAGGGCGGGGTTCAAACCCAGGGCCCCGAGCTTAGTGATGAACAGCATTCTTACATAGGTATTTCTCTTTTCCAGATGGGATAGGGCAGTGTGATGACATAATCCGTGGATCTGTTGGGGCGGTATGCAAATTGCAGTGAATCAATGGTGTCGGGTAAAGTGGAGGTGGTATGAACCTTAACTAGCCTCTCAAAGCACTTCATGATGACAGAAGTGAGTGCTGCGGAGCGATAGTCATTTAGTTCTGTTATCTTTGCTTTCTTGGGTACAGGAACAATGGTGGGGACAACAGACTGGGATAGGGAGAGATTTAACATGTTCGTAAACACTCCAGCCAGCTGGTCTGCACATGCTTTGATGACACGGCTAGGGATGCAATCTGGGCCGGTAGCCTTGTGAGGGTACAGTCCTTGTGAGCAGCAGTGTCCCGCGTTGACGGCTCTGTGTTTTCATCGAAGCGGGCGAATAAGTTGTTTAGCTTGTCTGGGAGCGAGGCGTCGGTGTCCGCAACATGACTGGCTTTCCCGCGCCTCAACTAGAGCAAAACAGGGGAGGGCTGGGTGGGCATTCCTCCTCGGCGGCGGTTCTGGCACCGGGCTTGCCCACCACCCTCCAATACTCCCCCCATAGCGCCCCTGGTCCGGTCTGGCCCCGCTGGCTGGAGCTGAACTGGACGTAGCAGGAGCGGTTAGCTTCAGCTCCGTTGTGGAGCAGTTGAGCGGTACCTGATTAGGTACTGATGACCCAGGCACGGGTTGTGCCGGACTGACGACGCGCACCCCTGGCTTGGTGCGTGAGGCAGGAACGGACCGGACCGGGCTGACGATGCACACCCCTGGCTTGGTGCGTGGAGCAGCAACGGGCCGGACCGGGCTGACGATACGCACCCCTGGCTTGGTGCGTGGAGCAGGAACGGACCGGACCGGGCTGACGATGCGCACCCCTGGCTTGGTGCGTGGAGCCGGAACGGGCCTCACCGGACTGACGACTCGCACCCCTGGCTTGGTGCGTGGAGCAGCAACGGGCCGGACCGGGCTGACGATGCGCACCCCTGGCTTGGTGCGTGGAGCCGGAACGGGCTTTACCGGGCTGACGACTCGCACCCCTGGCTTGGTGCGTGGAGCAGCAACGGGCTTAACCAGGCTGACGACTCGCACCCCTGGCTTGGTGCGAGTGGCAGGAACGGGCTGGACCAGGCTGACGACTCGCACCCCTGGCTTGGTGCGAGTGGCAGGAACAGGCTGAACCAGGCTGACGACTCGCACCCCTGGCTTGGTGCGAGTGGCAGGAACAGGCCGGGCCGGGCTGGCGACGCGCACCGTAGCTTTGGTGCGAGTGGCAGGAACAGGCCGGGCCTGGCTGGCGACGCACACCGTAGGCTTGGTGCGAGTGGCAGGAACAGGCCGGGCCGGGCTGGCAACGCACACCGTAGGCTTGGTGCGAGTGGCAGGAACAGGCCGGGCCGAGCTGGCGATGCGCACCGTAGGCTTGGTGCGAGGGGCAGGGACAGGCCGGGCCGGGCTGGCGACGCACACCGTAGGCTTGGTGCGAGGGGCAGGAACAGGCCGGGCCGGGCTGGCGACGCACACCGTAGGCTTGGTGCGAGGGGCAGGAACAGGCCGGACCGGGCTGTGGAGACGGATAGGAGACCTGGAGTGAAGAGCGGCCACAACCCGTCCTGGCTGAATGCCTACCTTCACACACTCCGTGTGAGGCATCCGCACAGGACGTACAGGGCTGTGTACCCGTACTGGCATAACAGCACGTGACACTGGAGCAGGATATCCGGGACCGCGGAGAGGCATTGGAGACCACGAGCGTTGAGCCGGCACACTCCGTCCTGGCTGCATACCCACCTTCGCACGACACGTGCGGGGTGCTCGCACAGGACGTACCGGACTATGCCGGACCACTCGTGGCACAGTACGCCGCTCCGCATACCGCGGAACCTGCCCCGTCCCATGCTGCCATGCCTGAGTACGGGAAGTTGGTTCCGCTCTCCATCCAGGCTCCGCCAACCTGCCTTCTGGCCCCCCAAACCCGGTGGCCTCCTCTCCAAATCGTCCTGTGGCAGCCTCCTGCTGCCCAGTCGCCCATGCCGTGTGCCCCCCCCTAAAAAATTTTTGGGGTTGCCTCTCGTCCGTCCGACGATGACACTGCTGACGCCGCTGCTCCTCTCTCGCCAGGGCCTTAATCCTAGCCCATGGCCCTTTTCCCCCGAGCATGTCCTCCCAGGACCACACTTTGCCCACCTGGGCCATCGCCAACCTCTCCATCTCCTTTCCCGGCGCTTCCTCCCATGTCCAGTCTGCCTGCTCCTGGACACGCTGCTTGGTCCTTGTATGGTGGGTTCTTCTGTCACGATCGTCGTACGGAATAGACCAAGGCGCAGCGTGATGAACGAACATGTTTATTTATCTAATGTGATAAATACTGACAATGAACAAAACAACAAACGACTCGTAACGTCCTAGGTAACATAGACCAACACGGAACAAGAACCCACAAACACAAAGGGAAAAACAGACAGTTTAAATATGGCTCCCAATCAGAGACAACCAGCCACAGCTGACACTCGTTGCCTCTGATTGGGAGTCACTCAGGCCAACATAGAAATAAACAAACTAGAACTCCCAACATAGAAATACACCACATAGAACGAACACACCCTGGCTCAACATATAGAGTCCCAGCGCCAGGGTGTGACAATGGCGTGTCGCTCGATTGCTTTTGCCTGGCTCTGATGGTCCGAAAAGTAAAGAATCAAACTACACACACTTGAGAGATTTACAACCGGTAGATAGCTTCAGTAGCCCAGTTCTTCTGGCAAGTAGTATGGCTGCAATCAGGCGAGCAGTAGCCAGAGACTTGGCAGTGCTGGCTAATGCTGCTGAAAACGACACCTTTCCAGATTACCTGCTTTTCCGTGTGGAGGTGTAACAGATTTAAGAATGTACCGTAACTTCACTCCACAGCTAGCTTGAATTGTCGCTGAAGGAGCTATCCAATTGGTACCTTTTGTATACCTCAATCGGTTAAGACATGTTATCAAGCAGGCCCTGGTTCAAGTCCAGTCAGTGGCAAGTTCAGGGAGCTATCGGTATATGCTAAGCTAGCACACTGACCCAGGTTATAGAGGCATGCATCGAAAACTTGGGTCAGCTAGCTAGTACAATGGACACAGAAGTGAACCCGTTAGTTCTTAACAATTTGGAAGAAGTTGCCCGATGACTTCGCCAGAGTTCAAGTGATAACAGAGAGTCCTGGTGCAGCACACCATAGACAATTGCGTCTGGGCCACCATAATCATGCCGTTGTTCAACTGGTCATTCAGTACAGTACCGTTTCTGTTTAATTAAATGTTAAACACCGTTCTGACGTACTGAACGAACCCCAGGCAAATGCAATCGAGAAACGCGCCGTGACATGAATTAACCGGTGGTGTGTTAGATACCACCCACATGTTTTTGCTCGACACCTCCTTATTATCATATGAAGGAAGAAATATATAAATAAATAAATGAAGAAATAATATAAATGAATAAAATGAATGAAAGTGGGATTAATTATTGAAATATTTATGTATCTATATGTGTGCAATAATTCATCCATTTATATGTGCATTTATTTATTTATAATTATGGCAGGTTTGGTCCTCCATAAAAAACACATTTAGCATGATAAAGTACTTTTACATTTTAGTCATTTAGCAGATGCTCTTATCCAGAGCGACTTACAGTTAGTGAGTGCATACATTTTCATACTGCCCCCCCGTGGGAAACAAACCCACAACCCTGGCGTTGCAAGCCCCATGCTCTACCAACTGAGCTACAGGGGATCTTATAATGTTATAATAAAACTGTTGTAATGTAGACAATTATACATTGGTAGTACATATTTTGCTAGTACATGGGAGACCCCAGCAATTTTTTTGTGAGTGTAGTGTTAGATGGTAGGGTATTAGTATTTTTATGATTATTATGATTATGATTATAAAAATAAATAAAAATTAAGCAAAGTATAAAGGAGTTATACTCCAGTCTAGTAGGTGGCGTAATGCAACATTTATTGGACGCCAACCGCCGTTAAACCTCATCGAAGAAGAAGAAGACGAAGAAGAAGAGACCCTGTCAATGCTCTGTGGTAATTGGCTACTGTCACGTCTCATTTTGCGTGACGAATATGTTTTATCCAATCTGATTGGTTTGTGAGACTTGCTTCCACGGCGGGAACTTCTAGCTAGCTAGTCAAGGATGTTTACAGTCAGCTAACAAGCTTTGTACATCTCATTTTTAGCTACAAAGGTAAATTAACACCATTCAAACATTGATATTGTAAATAGCTAGTTATTTTATGCTTGCTGAAAGTTGTGGTAGTTGGAGGCTATGCAAGCTAGCAAGGACAGCTAGCTACCTGATACTTGGCAAATCACACAGATAAAAGTGAAAGCGGTTAGCTAGCTATCTTAAATTTAAGAAGAAAACAGTGTTTTTTAACGCTTGATGTTAGTTTTGCTGTGTGAGTTATGACACATTGCTTACTAGCTCGATAAGCTACCGTAACTAGATGCAGAGCCTTCTATTTCGCAAAAAGCAAATGACTAGATCTAGCTAACGTTAGTTAACTTTAGTCAGAGCTATATTGTGCGGGGAATGTGACCAATCGATGTGAATGATATTGTCAGTTGCAGCAACATGTAGTGGCTTCAAGCTTGTTTTGATTTATTTCCAGTGTATACCAGTTGGACAAGGCAGTCACCATGGCTGCTCCCCCAGTGGAGTACACCATAGGAGGGGTGAAGATACAGTTCCCTTGCAAAGCCTACCCCTCCCAGCTGGCCATGATGAACTCTGTAAGTGTGTAAGCATCACACACTTTTAACCATGGGTGATTTTCAAAAGTATTTCCTTGATTCCTCATTCTCTCTCCTTGCCTCCTCTTAAAAGGTCAGAGGGAAGCAAGGAGACTGGAGGATAAGATCTGAGGAGCGGAAACTCTTGACTTTTGAGATTCACCCCATATCCCATAAACACTGTATGCAGTTAGACTACTCTGTGTTATCAGTCTGTGTTATTGAGTGTGTGACTGACTAACCCCTGTTGTTGTGTGTGATTGTCTCCCCAGATAGTGCGAGGGCTGAATCATGGGCAGCACTGTCTATTGGAGAGCCCTACAGGGAGTGGCAAGAGCCTGGCCCTGCTCTGCTCCGCCCTGGCCTGGCAGCAGGCACAATATGGTAAGGGTGCTGCTTAGACTACTTCTTATGAATTATGATTCTCGATTGATTTGCATTCACAAGCAATGCTTTTATTTTACATTTCTGGTCCACATAAAGCATTACTGCGTGTAGTGTATATTCAAGTGTAGCATATTCTGCAGCTGCATACTAGAAATCACAGTCTGAGGTTAATTGTGATGATGATTCAAGTATGTATGTCCTGTGTGTGTCTAGGTAAGCTTGAACAGGACGGCAGCAGTCCTACAGAGGGTAAGAAGCCAGCTGTCACCACCCCCTGTCAGTGTGCCTGTCACAGCAAACCCGCCAGTGTCCCAGACAACAGGCCCAAACCACTAGCCACTGTGGTGGTGGACCTCACTGGCTCACCGGAGGTAGTGGTGGCACAGCGCTCATCTTCTCCCACAGACACAGGTAATCTTAGTTGAGAACAGTAATAGTGAGATACCTAACCACTATATTGGTCAGTGTTACTGGGGGATGACCAGGGGATGCATATTTCCGTTCTAACCCAACACTAATAAAACGTATGATTCAACAAATGAAGGGCTTGGTGATTATTTTATTGGTTGAATACAGTGTATTCGTGCTGAGTTCGAACAGAAATGTGCACTCCGTCAGGATCCCCTCAGGAATGGATTGAGAAAGACCATATGTACTGTAAATGCACTTACAGCAGTGTAAGTCACACTCCCAATCCCCTAGCTCAGCTCAGGTTGTACATTTTTCAATTAAATACAAATGTTGATACCTTTGTCACTGTCTGTTCAGTGCCCCCTCCATCAGAGGAGTACAAGCCCAAGTCTCTAGCCTCTCGTCTGTCTGACAAGCTCCAGACCTCCCTAACCTTCGAACAGGAGAAGGATGATGACTTCCAGCCTGATAGGAAACGCATCCGCACCCCAACCATGGAGCAGAAGGTAGGTAGCCTTATAGAATGCAACAGAATTTCATGTATTTTTATTGGTAGCCATATTAACAATCCTTTCGCAGACAGACCAATAAGTCTAACCATTCTGATTTGTCCCTGTTTCAAGTTCCAGGGTATACAAAATCTGTGAATGTCTGTGCGGATTTTCAGCTCTTTACTGTCTTGAATGCCTAAGGAAGTATTTGACATCTCAGGAACTACATAAACAAGATATAAAGATCTTATAATCTATGCAAAACTGTGCCGATAATGACACGCCCTTATTCACATTAATTTTTGTACATGTTTTTTTATAGGACAATGTACAAAATTCAGTCAATAATAACATAAACCCTTACTCTCTGTTTCCCTCAGGGTTGTAAGAGGAGGTGCTTGGAGCAGGGAGTGGTGTTTATAGATGATGAGCCAGAAGGAGAGAGGCCAGTGTCTGGAGCACAGACCTGGACCGTGGAGCTGAGTACCCAGGCACAGACTATAGACCTGCCCCCTGAGAGACACTGCTGTGTGAGTACATCTACTGTATCTAAACTAAGGATATGTTGCTTTTTAATGCTGATCTAGGATCAGCTCAACTGATGGTGGGGCTGGGAAATATATTTACCGGTATGGATCCATATACCGGTATGGATTTTTACCGTCTACAAAGATATTTTGATGCAGTGCTCAATTTTAATGAAAAGTTCTACAAATTGGACTACTTTCACAGGCAGTTGTGACCTAGTTCCGACATTTCTTGATTTCTTAATTTGTTGTTGTTGTTGTGTACTGTTTGACATTTTACTGCATTGTTAGGAGCTAGTAACATAAGCATTTCATTGCACCCACTATAACATCTGCTAAACTGTGTACATGACCAATAAACTTTGATTTGATTTAGTTCGGTTGAGTATAAAACATCAGAATGTAGAAAGCCCATTCAAATCACTTATAATTAATTTGTTGCCATCCTAGGGTCATGCTCTACTCATAAAACATATTTAGAACTTTTGTATTATTCAGAAACATAAAATACCGTCAGAAATGAGAAAAATATTGTGATATGATAATTATTTTGGCCAAAAATCTCTGAAGCTGGAGACCCTTATCTCCCTCTCTATCTTTAAGCATCAGTTGTCAGGGCAGCTTACCGATCACTGCACCTGTACACAGCTCATCCCCATATTGTTATTTACATTTTTATTTATTTTGCTCATTTGCACCCCAGTATCTCTATTTGCACGTCGTCTTCTGCACATCTATCACTCCAGTGTTAATACTAAATTGCAATTATTTTGCACTATGGCCTATTTATTGCCTTACCTCCATAACTTACTACATTTGCACACACTGTATATAGATTTTCTATTGTGTTATTGACTGTACGTTTAGTTTATTCCATATGTAACTCAGTTTTTGTTGTTTTTATCACACTGCTTTGCTTTATCTTGGCCAGGTCGCAGTTGTAAATAATTAAATGGTTAAATAAAGGTGAAATAAATAAAAAATAAATATCGGCCAGCCCTAACCGATGGACCTGCCCCCTGAGGCACACTGCTGTGTGAGTACATAAATTACTACGGATATGTTGCTTTTTATTGCTGATCTAGGATCAGCTCAACTGACTACCACCTTAATGCCAACCATTAGAAACCATGAAGATAAATATTTTAGTGTTGTACAGCTACCCAAGTACTACATTGTGTCCACTGGGTGGCAGCATAGCCCATTTAATGTGTGGCTGTGCTCCATCACATTCCTTTGGCGGCGTTCTCACATTTCTTGTGTGCCAAGTGAATGTGTCATGTAATATAGGTTGTGTTTAGTCTGCATAAGGCAGGAAGAGGAGGGGGGAAAGCAATAGGTAGATGGAAATTAAGAGGACGTGGAAGGAGGAGAAAGTTCCCTCCCGCTGTTCATCTTGGGTTTCCCCGTCTGATAACTGACCGGCTCCTCTATGCTGTGAGCTGCTGACTGACGTCATGAATGGGGCTCTTTGAAGGGACAGAGCTCCACTTTTAATTATTGCCTCGCCTCGCCGCTGATCTGTGAAAGCCAGGGATAAATATTGAATGGGGTTCACCCGCTGGTTACTGAGCCCTGGGACCTAGAGGGGTAAACGAGTGCTTTCTGAGGAGGGAGAGCTGGGTGGCCATTCGGGGGGCCTCACACCTGTGTCAGTTGTAGACCATGGTGCTTCCCAAATGGCACGCTATTCCCTACATAGTCCACTACTTTTGTCTAGAGCCCAATGGGCTCTGTTCAAAAGTAATGCACTATATAGGGAATAGCGTGCCATTTGGGATGCACACCAGAGCAGAGGGGTGATGGCTAGTTTGTGTCATGTCTCCTAAGGTATTTGATCAGGACGGCACTGCAGTCATCTTTTTGCGACTTAGCCAGCCCACCACCCCTGTGTGTGTTTTAATGTGCACCCCACCTCCCACTGGAATGCATTCCAAACCTTGAAGGCTGAGGACTGAGGAGCAAATTGGCATCCAGCGAGCGGCGCCAGCAACACAGAGCCAGCCTGTCCCCGCCAAACCCCCCACCACCATCACCTGGCCCCCCCGGAGTGTGAGATTCCTGTGTCTCAGGTGTCAGCTGTGCAATGCTGAAACTCAAGGCACACAGGGATGGAATCAGCTAGGTCTACGTGGTCAAGAGTATACTGAGTGACTGAGAACCACACCACCACCACCTCTACATCCAGGTCATGGTTCTGACTGTCACTGCCCTGATAATAAGGATGATGCTAGTACCGTTTAGAACATACCAAGTGATATCTTTAAAGAGAGATTTTCTTATGAACACTGTAGGGAGAAGCCACAAGCAAGGTAATGGGGTGCAATTTGGGAGGCAGCTCCTGTGAGTTAAGGGGATAAAGAGCCCTGAGCTGACATGATGAATAAACAGAGGGGACTCTAGGGGCCCGTAGTAGGGTCAGGTTACAGCAGGGCCAGATCGTTGGAACAGACTAGTTATACTCCTCGGCTCTGCAGCTCCGCCCCTTGCCTGGGCAACAGAGCCCGATCACCTTACCTGCTGCTGCTGCCACGTTAAATAGGCCCCTCCACATATCCCTCCTACAGCGAGATCATGGCAAATAATTACTTATTCATCGACAGGTGGGGGGTAGGGGCGTCACTGCTGAATAGAGACCCTTGTCAAGAGGCAGCAGCAGGAAACTGCTGACAAGGGTATCCCTTTACATGCCTGTCCCTGTCCGAGATGCAGACCGACATGGTTTGGGGCTTCGCTGGGCTCATAGGAGCGAGCAGACACCCCCCTGGAATGGAATGTAGATAACTAACAGGGGGCCTGATGGTGTTGGCTGCCCTCTGCAACAGACACATAGCGGCTCATTCATTCAACACTGGACAATACCACCCACCGCCGTTGCTACATGTGTGATGCTGAGAGTGAGGGTGTCTGTCTACCACACAGAGTGAATACCTGTTCAATCAAGGGAAAGTGGCTGAGCTCAGTTAGGGCCCCCTAACACACATTGTAATATTTCATGGTTTGAGAAGGAGGGTTACCTGAACCACCTGGCCCTTCTAGTCTCCACTGAAGCACCACAGGCTCAGCTAGCTTGATCTGCTGGCATTGAGATGTAAAACACACCCTGAGCATTTGTTTATATGGTGAGGCATATAAACCGGTCGGTGCCAGATTGTAAAAGATGGAAGAGAGTGAGGGATTTCTTATTATTTAGGGGATGAACGTCTTCCTTTTAAAAGCAGGACTAATGCTGTTACTAAGCTCAAGGTTTAGATTCAGGGTTACTTCAAAACACTGTCATAACATTTTACTCCCTCTGATGGAAACGGCTAAAGAACACTGTGACTTGCTTAGAACTTTGTGGTGAACAATACTATTTGTGGTTGGCTTGTTTAGTCTGTATGGTTGGGTCTGGCGCGTGGGTGATGCATCATTTGCATTAGTGTTAGTGAAAGGGGTGGAAAGTGTCCCACTTAAAAGAGCTCACCACCTGACTGGTATCAGTTTCAGCAGTGCTGTTGGCTACGCTTCACCTGTGTGTCAAGAGAAAGGGACGCCACACATCCACTGTGGTTACTGACAGCCAATTAAAAAGCAGCTACACTTTCACATCCCCAACAATGGCCACCTATCATCTTTCAGCAGTCAGAGAATGTAATCTAACCATGACTGACAGGCAGTATTGTGTGGATACACATTCTTGCTATACTTTCCTATATGTTCTCTACTAGAGCATATAGAGTTAACCAGTTAAGAGATTCACCAATTGTCTGGTATTGGTGATTACCTTTTTGTTTGGTGTCAATATTTTTATAGTGAGCAATGTAAAATTGAAAAATGTTTTTCAAAATGTTTTGATGTGATAACACTCTTGATATCTTGTACTTTTATCTTCTTTCTCCCACCATGTGTCTACTAGTCCCCCCTGGTGTCCTGCTGTCTCTGTCCCTGTGCTTCGTCCAAAGGCGTCCAGAAAGGAGCCGAGGGGAAGTCTTCTAAGGAGAAGGACAAGGACAAAGAGGGCAAGAAGAAACAAGTCCCCAAGATCTTCTTTGGCACGCGTACCCACAAACAGATCACTCAGATCGCCCACGAGATGAAGCGTACGCTCTACTCCTCCGCCCCCATGACCATCCTGTCCAGTAGGGACCACACCTGTGTCCACCCAGAGGTGATGCCTCACTCCAACCGCAACGAACGCTGCAAAGAACTGCTGGAAGGGAAGAATGTGAGTAGAGTACAGACCTACACACACACAGCACATACAGACTTACACACACACACACACACACATACACACATACCTAATACACACAGGGTTGCAAAGGGAGGGTATATTACTAGAAGCTTTCTAAGTTTACCAGTAAACTACTAGAAATGTGGTATCTTTATGTAATCTATCACAAGACATCTGGTGGCCCTTTTGGGTACTTCAGAATTGTAGAGGTGTCTGTAATTCTCTCTGGCCCTCTGTGTGGCCTTATCACATGTAAAATATATGAAATAATTAAATAAGATGATTTTCAAATACAAAATAGAATGACAAATCTGTAAAACATTTTCCTAAATATAAACCATCAACAGTGAATACCATTGGTGTTTAATATGAGCGTTTCAGCATGACATATCCTTTATATATATTTTTACACACTTTACTTGGCTATGTCTATGTATTTGTTTTCAATGTTTCAGCGTCAAACTGGTGGCAGTTATGAAAAAAGTTAATAGTTGAAATAGTTGCAGAGTTTATTGAAAATAATGCCATTGTTGATTAGATGCTTTTTTAATTAATTAGGCTGTTTCTCTTGAACCATATGGTCTATCTGCTAGTAACCCATGGACAATATGGACACAGATATAAAAAATGAATACTATATATGAATACATAAAAAAAAGTGATTCAAGTATAAATACCACATTTACGATAGATTGCCATAGATTCTCTCTTAATTACCAAAATGATTGAAAATTCCGGTAATTTTGGTAAACTACCGATTGCAACCCTATACACACACTTTTTTTTCCCATCAAACCTGGGATTTTAACTGACGACTGTCCAGTTGCTGGCCCGCTTCCCTGACCTCTAGCTCACCTACCGCCCTTCTTTGTAGTAACAAGGTGTCCTCCTTAGTGCCACCAATAGGGTATTGTTTTGTAGAGCCGTGGTCAAGGCCTCTTGGCCTGCTCCACCCTAGGGCTTAAACCAGCTCAGCTCCTAGCTAGGCTACATTAGTGTTGCCCTGTTACTTCTCAATGGAGGTGGTTGACTATTACTGGGCCTGAATTGGATTCTTTTGAACTGAGATTTACCCCAATCCAGCTGTGAAAACCAACACCTCTTCAGACATGGAAACACATACACACACACACACACCTCCGATCCTGAGTTTGAGTGGTGTTTCTAATCCCAGTGACAGACACTCCTTAAGGGAGTGAATTCGAGCCGCCTCTGAGCTCTAGAAAGAAATGCTTCGTAACCCAACCCCACAGTTAAAGGACAGGCAGACATCTCCCGTCACCATCGCCCCGGGTGGCAATTACACCCCATAATATCCCCAATCAGTCAGACAGTCTCTCTAGCACGACGACGTGTCAAGAGGCTTCAGACAGGTTTTGTGTCGGATGGGATACTCTTTATAGTCAGTGTTACTGTTGCAGTCCTAACCCCTGTTCTCCTCCAGGTGAGGTGGCTAGTGTAATGAGCACCTATTATGCACACACACACACACACACACACACACACACACACACAAGAAGGTGAGACTGATCATATAATAAGCCCCTATTGCGCTGTCACCAGAGGTGTCTATCTGTCCTGTCCGCCTCAGTCTACAGTCGACACGGTGACAGTGTCACATCCTGATCTGTTACAGAGAATGGGTGTCCCCGCAACAACCTCAGAGGATAGAATAGCCACAGCTCCATCGCACTCAGACTTCTTCTACCAGCCCTGTTTATCCCTCTACTCTCCAGTCCCCTAGGCCCTGTCTAAAGCCAGTCTCTTGTTACAACTCTATACACCCCAACTTCTGGCTTTGACTGAGCTCAATTGGGTTAAGACTCCCCTGTTGTGCTTTCTCTTTTTGTGGAGTCATAAAGTCAAATCGCACCACTAAGCTGCCATTGCCCCAATATAAGAATTACTTGAGTGAACGCTAATCCTTTCACCTGCGCTACACACACACGCACACACACACACTGAACCGTTGGAAACAAAACCGTTTTAAGTGTCGAAGTTTATCCTTGATGTGTGGCAGAAAGTGAGGACCCACCCACCCCTTTGATAGCTGCCTTTCTTTCCATGCCTTTGGCGGTAACGGTCTATAGTTGTCACGTGTGTGTGTGTGTCACCGGGGAGCCGGCTGGTTGTGACATGGTGGTAGCTGAGGTGTGTAAACCATGATGAAGGTCTATTGATTGGTTCTGAGAGCTCCTCAAGGTCACCAGTGTGCTGAAGTGAATTATTTTTGGTGTGTGTATTGTCAAGGATGAAAACAACCCCTCTCTTTTTCCTACGGCACACAGGGCGTGTCGTGCCGCTTCAAAAACGGTGTGCACAAGATGCAGGACCAGAATACTCTGCAGTGGGTCCATGGTCTCCACCAGGCCTGGGACATAGAGGACCTGGTTCGTCTGGGGGGCCGGCTGAGGGCCTGCTCCTACTACGCTGCCAGGGACCTCATGCAGGACGCCTGTATCGTCTTCTGTCCCTACAACTACCTGCTGGACCCCCTCATCAGGGAGAGCGTGAGTCTGGGGGGGGGCAGGATGGAGGGTGGGACGAGGGACGGAGGGAATTGTTGTTGGTGTAAGAGAAGGAGAGAGTGATGAGGATGTAGGCCAGAAGAAAGGTGGCTTCACACATTGAAGGATAGATGTGTACTCCTATACTTTTAGCTGAACATATTCCTTGACCACCACCTGGTCAAACCCACTGCATGCTTACTGTTTACTGGGGTAGAGCAGGAGAGAAGGAGTGAGGGGAGGCTGTCTGGCTCTGTATGTCATATTTTCCCTCCTCCCCCTCCTCTTCCCCCCCCCCCCCCCCCCTCTTCTCTTTCCCCTCTCCCCCTCTTCTCTTTCCCCTCTCCCCCTCTTCTCTTTCCCCTCTCCCCCTCTTCTCTTTCCCCTCTCCCCCTCTTCTCTTTCCCCTCTCCCCCTCTTCTCTTTCCCCTCTCCCCCTCTTCTCTTTCCCCTCTCCCCCTCTTCTCTTTCCCCTCTCCCCCTCTTCTCTTTCCCCTCTTCTCTTTCCCCTCTCCCCCTCTTCTCTTTCCCCTCTCCCCCCCTTCTCTTTCCCCTCTCCCCCTCTTCTCTTTCCCCTCTCCCCCTCTTCTCTTTCCCCTCTCCTCCCCTACAGATGCAGATCAACCTGAAGGGTCAGATTGTGGTTCTGGATGAGGCCCACAACATAGAGGACTGTGCCAGGGAGAGTGCCAGCTACACCCTGAACAAACCCCAGCTGCTGTCTGCCAGGGAGGAGCTGGACGGCATGGTAACCCATAACATCAGACGCTCCAACCACGAACCCCTACGAGCCTTCTGCTGCTCCCTGCTCAAGTAAATAGACCCTAACCTCCTGGAGTTAGATAGACCCTACCCCCTCTGGGCCTTCTGTTGCAGCATGCTCAAGGAAGAGCTCCCTCTCATCACCTCCCCTGCTGAAACTACAGTAGTGTTTCTCTAGCTATCTAGTCATGGTGCATGTTTTTCTTTCTAGGCCAGCACTAGCACAACTGCTCTAATTATCAACCCATCTTGGTTAAAAATGAATTTAAATGTAATCAATACTTGTAAAGAATGTCTTCACTAGACTTGCCTCAATATCAAATAGTAGTTTTAAGATGGCCGCCTCTCTCGCTCCCTCTCTGTCTGTCTGTTCCTCCTGTTGTGTAGCTGGATGCAGGAGAGCTGCAGTGTTCTGGCTGAGAGGGAGTATGAGATGTCCTGTAAGGTGTGGAACGGCAAGGAGGTTCTGGGAATCTTCCACACCATGGGCATCACCGCTGACACCTTTGCCATGCTGCAGGTCAGATAATGTTGTTGACCACCTAGGTCTCCTCTCACCTGTCTCTCTGTCTCAATCCTTATCTTTTGCTCTCTCTCACTTTCACCCCCTTTTAATTTTTTGTTGCAAGGTTTGTGTGTTTTAGAAGGGAGGCCTACATCTCTTTTATCTCCCCATCTCTCTCCCTCCCTCCACCTCCATCATCTCTCCCTCCCTCCACCTCCATCATCTCTCCCTCCCTCCACCTCCATCATCTCTCCCTCCCTCCACCTCCATCATCTCTCCCTCCCTCCACCTCCATCATCTCTCCCTCCCTCCACCTCCATCATCTCTCCCTCCCTCCACCTCCATCATCTCTCCCCCTGTATAGAAGCACCTGGCAGCGGTGTTGGAGAAGGAGGAGCGGGTTGGGCTGGTGAACGGGAGAGAGGATACAGTGGAGGTCCCCACCATCAGCTCAGCCAGCTCCTCTGTCATCAAGAGTCTCTTCATGGTGCTGGACTTCCTCTACAGGGACAAGAGCAGGTCTGAAGCAATCTGTGAACCAGTCTTTAACAATCAGTCAATATTTTGTATTGTTCTAATTGGGAAATGTGTATTGTAGTCAGGGTGAAAAACAAGATCAACACAACAACATACTACAAATTACATTATACAAACACTTTAGATCACTGACAAACACTTCTGTCCTGGTCATGTTCCCGTGGTCAGGTTTGCAGAGGACTACCGCGTGGCGCTGCAGCAGACCTACACTTGGACCACGGCTCCAGACGTGCCAGATGCACAGGGCTTCTTCGCCAGGCCCAACCGCCGGCGCCACAGTGCCAAGACCAAGACCCTCGTACACACACTCAGCTTCTGGTGCCTCAACCCTGCCGTGGTGAGTAGCAGGGGAGGATGTACTGGATACACCTTTTATATGGGGAAAAAAGTACCTATTACGCAAAAGTAGTGTATTATTATATTACTTTGAGCGCTGCCCGTCCTAAGGGGTGTGTGTGTGTGTGTGTGTGTGTGTGCGCGTGGCAGGCGTTCTCAGACCTTTCGGACAATGTTCACAGCATCGTGCTGACCTCAGGCACGTTGTCTCCTATGGGATCCTTCTCCTCAGAGCTGGGGGTCAAGTTCTCTATCCAGCTGGAGGCCAGCCACGTCATCAGCAAGTCACAGGTCAGTAGAAACCTCTGCCTTCATTTCAGCGTCACCACTGATGTTATGGGTGGTGATTTTATCATAGTATCCAGAAACAGTCTGATGGTTAACGATGCTCAGAAAGGAACTGGACTATGTAACCAGGTAAAAAAAGCACAAACAAATAAGATTTGACTGTTGTCGTCTTCCTTTTTTGCTAACTGGGGCTTCTCCTTCATGGATTTTGTCCTGACAGCAGGACATTCTTACCCCCCTCAATGTTTAAACAGTCAAATCCTGTATGCTTGTCAGTTGGTATACCCCTGCTCAGTGTGTTCAGTCAGTGTCTGACCTGTCCTTCCTCTAGGTATGGGTGGGCACGCTGGGCTCTGGCCCCCAGGGGAGGAAGCTGTGTGCCACCTTCCAGCACGCTGAGACCTATGCCTTCCAGGATGAGGTGGGAGCCCTACTGCTCAGGGTCTGCCAGGCCGTAGGGAGGGGAGTGCTCTGCTTCCTGCCCTCCTACAAGGTAAGACCAGTCTCTTTGCTAAAGCTAGTTCGGGGGGGGGGGAACGTTTTGAAACATTTCCAATAGATTTTCTTTTTTCCGTTGCAAAACGTTTTGCTTCAGTGCCATACTGAACACGACCATTGAGAATCACTGAGCTGATGTGTTCCTCATTTTCACTCACCACTCTTTTTCTTGTTTAAAACGTATTCAGTTCCTACCATTTACCACCAGGAGGGGCTAGAGACCACATTTTGAGGTTGAGTGTTTTTAATTTTTTAATTTTTTAAAAATCTTTATTTATTTATTTATTGTTAGATACTACTGCACTGTTGGAGCTAGGAACACAAGCGTTTCACTACACCCCCAATAACATCTGCTAAATATGTGTATGTGACCAATAACATTTTATTTTGATTTGAATGCCAAAGGAAAAGGTTCTAAGGGTCCATATATGGTGAGCAGCTGTAATATAGGCCTATGTAGAGCTAATGGAAATCTCTTAAACAGTAGTAAGCTAACAAATACCTTACATAAAACCCTGTATCCCATTTCAGTTAACCAGACACTTCTAAGGGCCCATTGATAAATACTTTGTCCTCCTTTGTTTGTTATGCCTTCTGCCATGAATAATAGATTTCCATTCAGGCTCTGTGTCTTTGTCACATCACCACCACCAGTCCACTTAGGGACCAGCTGGCTCTCTCATGTCACTGTTGGTGTGTGTTGGTGCTCACACGTGCACATATACGTGAGTGTTACATGTGAAGGTTTGTTTGCATTTTTGCATAGCGCTGCATACCTTTTTGTGTGTCCACTTGTGTGCCTGTTTAGTGCCTTACAATGCACTCATTCTTTATGCTTATATACAATAGGCCTATGGTTTGTATTTGACCCTTTGATGTCAAAGCTCAAGGTTTGTCCTCTAGCTGACTATCCAGTTGAGACTATATCAATGATATCAGAATATGAAAGGAAAGCTAAAAGTCTCCTATTAGGATCCAGTTTTGTCTCTTTCCCCCCTCATTACCCCCCCAGCCATGACGCCAGGCAGGCAGAGACAGCCACAGAACAACTCTGGGTGGATATTGTGTATTATTGATGGCTAGTGTAGGAGCTCTATGCCCTCTGTGCATTAATATTTAATGTACAGACAGACGGCTCTTAAAGATGAAGAGATGAGGGGTTACTTGGGGTATTAATTGGAGAGTCTGAGGCCCTCTGGAGCCAGTGAGTCCTGTGTGTGTGTGAGACAGAGGATGGGTCATCTCCAGGCACCCCTCTCTTCAGTGTGTCTGGGTGATGCCTATCAGAGAGGCAGCAGTACTGAGAGACAGAGGCCAGTCACACAGTACTAAGATCACTCAAAGGCCGCAGAGGTGTCCTTCGTTCCTCTCAGCTCTGTCTGTCGCCCTCTGACAGATACACACTCCTGGCAGACACACTGTGAATGTGTATACGCACACAGAACATACAGTACAACTCAAGAATACACAGTTAAAGGTACTCTCTCACGCGTGCACGCACACAGGCGTGCGTGTGTGTCTGGCCATGCACACACACTCATGCAGACATTACACACTCAGACATCTCCCAGAGCCCTCCTGGAGCTGTGGTTTTGTTGCACTTGAGCCTCAACAGCCCCCCAGTTAATGCCCATTAAAACTACAGTACCCCTCTGCCTGCGCCTCTCCGTCTGGCCGCTCCGCTAGAGGAAAGGGACAAAACACACCGTGGAGGGTTGGGAAGAGAGGGTGGAGAGGTGGGTTTATTAAAAAGGGGGTTTTGCAGAGGTGAAAAGATTGCATGGAAATGCAAGATGCTTTTAAAGCAGATTGAGATAAGGGCCATTAGGGGTGATGTCGCCTAGCTGTCTGTGTGAAGACGCATCCTCGCTGGCGCCTGAAGGAGGATGGGGGCTGAGGATGAGGCTGGGGGCATGCTCACACACACGTCATATCTGTCTTTAATGTTCCAGCTGAGATGGGGGGGGGGGGGTTTATGTTAAAAAATAATAATATGGGGGGGTAGATCAGCTTTTATACTGCAGATAGATTGTAGCTTCAATCAATGTAATTGTCTGCATCATTTCCAATCCCCAATACAGTGGGGGAAAAAAGTATTTAGTCAGCCACCAATTGTGCAAGTTCTCCCACTTAAAAAGATGAGAGATCCCTGTAATTTTCATCATAGGTACACGTCAACTATGACAGACAAAATGAGAAGAAAAAATCCAGAAAATCACATTGTAGGATTTTTTATGAATTTATTTGCAAATTATGGTGGAAAATAAGTATTTGGTCAATAACAAAAGTTTCTCAATACTTTGTTATATACCCTTTGTTGGCAATGACACAGGTCAAACGTTTTCTGTAAGTCTTCACAAGGTTTTCACACACTGTTGCTGGTATTTTGGCCCATTCCTCCATGCAGATCTCCTCTAGAGCAGTGATGTTTTGGGGCTGTCGCTGGGCAACACGGACTTTCAACTCCCTCCAAAGATTTTCTATGGGGTTGAGATCTGGAGACTGGCTAGGCCACTCCAGGACCTTGAAATGCTTCTTACGAAGCCACTCCTTCGTTGCCCGGGCGGTGTGTTTGGCATCATTGTCATGCTGAAAGACCCAGCCACGTTTCATCTTCAATGCCCTTGCTGATGGAAGGAGGTTTTCACTCAATCTCAAGATACATGGCCCCATTCATTCTTTCCATTACACGGATCAGTCGTCCTGGTCCCTTTGCAGAAAAACAGCCCCAATGCATGATGTTTCCACCCCCATGCTTCACAGTAGGTATGGTGTTCTTTGGATGCAACTCAGCATTCTTTGTCCTCCAAACACGACGAGTTGAGTTTTTACCAAAAAGTTCTATTTTGGTTTCATCTGACCATATGACATTCTCCCAATCCTCTTCTGGATCATCCAAATGCACTCTAGCAAACTTCAGACGGGCCTGGACATGTACTGGCTTAAGCAGGGGGACACGCCTGGCACTGCAGGATTTGAGTCCCTGGCGGCGTAGTGTGTTACTGATGGTAGGCTTTGTTACTTTGGTCCCAGCTCTCTGCAGGTCATTCACTAGGTCCCCCCGTGTGGTTCTGGGATTTTTGCTCACTGTTCTTGTGATCATTTTGACCCCACGGGGTGAGATCTTGCGTGGAGCCCCAGATCGAGGGAGATTATCAGTGGTCTTGTATGTCTTCCATTTCCTAATAATTGCTCCCACAGTTGATTTCTTCAAACCAAGCTGCTTACCTATTGCAGATTCAGTCTTCCCAGCCTGGTGCAGGTCTACAATTTTGTTTCTGGTGTCCTTTGACAGCTCTTTGGTCTTGGCCATAGTGGAGTTTGGAGTGTGACTGTTTGAGGTTGTGGACAGGTGTCTTTTTACTGATAACAAGTTCAAACAGGTGCCATTAATACAGGTAACGAGTGGAGGACAGAGGAGCCTCTTAAAGAAGAAGTTACAGGTCTGTGAGAGCCAGAAATCTTGCTTGTTTGTAGGTGACCACATACTTATTTTCCACCATAATTTGCAAATAAATTCATAAAAAATCCTACAATGTGATTTTCTGGATTTTTCTTCCTCATTTTGTCTGTCATAGTTGACGTGTACCTATGATGAAAAATACAGGCCTCTCTCATCTTTTTAAGTGGGAGAACTTGCACAATTGGTGGCTGACTAAATACTTTTTTCCCCCACTGTATACCTTTTTTAAAATATATTTTCCCCTAACCCTACCACCCCTCCCCTATTTGGAGTAGACTAATGGACAACAACACTTAGGCTTCTACTTCCAGCTTATACATACTATATACACTGCTCAAAAAAATTAAGGGAACACTTAAACAATACACTGTAACTCTAAGTCAATCACACTTCTGTGAAATCAAACTGTCCACTTAGGAAGCAACACTGATTGACAATACATTTCACATGCTGTTGTGCAAATGGAATAGACAACAGGTGGAAATTATAGGCAATTAGCAAGACACCCCCAATAAAGAAGTGGTTCTGCAGGTGGTGACCACAGACCACTTCTCAGTTCCTATGCTTCCTGGCTGATGTTTTGGTCACTTTTGAATGCTGGCGGTGCTTTCACTCTAGTGGTAGCATGAGACGGAGTCTACAACCCACACAAGTGGCTCAGGTAGTGCAGCTCATCCAGGATGGCACATCAATGCGAGCTGTGGCAAGAAGGTTTGCTGTGTCTGTCAGCGTAGTGTCCAGAGCATGGAGGCGCTACCAGGAGACAGGCCAATACATCAGGAGACGTGGAGGAGGCCGTAGGAGGGCAACAACCCAGCAGCAGGACCGCTACCTCCGCCTTTGTGCAAGGAGGAGCACTGCCAGAGCCCTGCAAAATGACCTCCAGCAGGCCACAAATGTGCATGTGTCTGCTCAAACGGTCAGAAACAGACTCCATGAGGGTGGTATGAGGGCCCGACGTCCACAGGTGGGGGTTGTGCTTACAGCCCAACACTGTGCAGGACGTTTGGCATTTGCCAGAGAACACCAAGATTGGCAAATTCGCCACTGGCGCCCTGTGCTCTTCACAGATGAAAGCAGGTTCACACTGAGCACGTGACAGACGTGACAGAGTCTGGAGACGCCGTGGAGAACGTTCTGCTGCCTGCAACATCCTCCAGCATGACCGGTTTGGCGGTGGGTCAGTCATGGTGTGGGGTGGCATTTCTTTGGGGGGGGCCACACAGCCCTCCATGTGCTTGCCAGAGGTAGCCTGACTGCCATTAGGTACTGAGATGAGATCCTCAGACCCCTTGTGAGACCATATGCTGGTGCGGTTGGCCCTGGGTTCCTCCAATGCTAGACCTCATGTGGCTGGAGTGGGTCAGCAGTTCCTGCAAGAGGAAGGCATTGATGCTATGGACTGGCCCGCCCGTTCCCCAGACCTGAATCCAATTGAGCACATCTGGGACATCATGTCTCGCTCCATCCACCAACGCCACGTTGCACCA